ATAAGCAGTGCTTTTGTTTTCCAGGTAAATCTAAACTGCATTCAGGTACAGTGATTGAATAACCAGGTGTAAAATGACACTTCATACACTTAAAAATATAACAATTAATACAATGTATCAGTGTTAAAGCTACAAAAGTGATTTTCTCTTTCTCTTTTGTTGTTTGATTAACGTTGGTGACGCCGAAAGCTGCGGTAGCCTATATTAGGCAGCTGTCACTTTAAGACGAATGCACGATTCCAAAATAATATGCATTGGTTTTCTTTCTCAATTGTTTATAATGTTTAACTGACTGTGTTTGTGAGGATACTCGCTGAGAAAGGGATTTTGACTTAATTTTGCGTGCACGTGTCTGTTTAAGCTCAAAAGAAAAGAAAGAGGGCTGAATGCAATGTTCACATCTGTGTGTGCAGCACAGAAAACGGCGTGTGACTTCCAGTCATCTTCTGCTTGTTTAAACTGACAGGACTTAGTTTATCATTTGCATGTGTTTTTGTCTCTATGATGGTTAAACTTTGCAATTAATCCACTAATCGCATGCATTCCGAACCGGAACTGATTAAGTGCGATCCCTATACTTGACATCGCACATCCTGCGATGTGACTATTGTATATTATGTGATAAAGTGCAGGTTTTCTCTCTTTATTCAATTCTAAATGGTTTGAAAACAGTGCAAAAAGTCTGTATATTGAAATGAACACTTAAAGTAAATTTAATGTTTTCAATTAGATCAGGGCGATGGCGTTACAAGTGACTTTGCATGTTTGTGATATTACTCGTGCACTTTACTTTTACCAGGCAGTGTTTGTACATCACGTACTCTGTATCGTCGCACACTCGTGTCTGGTGTAGACATGCGGTGACAGTTTCTAATCATCAGTAAATATTTTGTTTGTTTGGGATACAGTTTGCCATCTTTTAGTTTTTGCAGGTCTGAATCATTTTTTGCACTGGAACCTCTTAACACAGCAATGCATTTACATTTACATTTATTCTTTTTTCCAAAAAACAGTTGTCAGTAGATTCTTGTTAGATTCTTCTAAGTGTATGTATGTGTGTGTGTGTGTGTGTGTGTGTGTGTGTGGGGGGTAATGTGTGTTAAAACAATAGGTAGTAGAAACTAAAAAACGTCAAAGTTAAAGGGGGGGGGGGCATACTTTAATGCTTCTTACTACATTGCACTAATAACTGTTGTATGTAGTAAATGTAAGTAAACAGTTATACCACTAGTTATACTCTTTGCTGCAATCGGTTTTATTTTAATAATTACAATATTTAAGATAAAGCTGAAGTAAAAATCAACTAGTTAAAATGTTTTAAATTGACAACATTTTAAGGCTGTATTTTTTCCTTTTCTTTTTTGGTGATTTATATTTTAAATTAATCCACTCTTTGTAGCCAATAAAGTATGAATACAGTTTATTGTGTGTAGTGTTTAGTAAGATGCAGTTTAATAAAACAATTAGATCCATCCAAAATTTTGACAACTTAATATTGTGCTTTTTAAAATAATTTTTAACAGGCAAAATTTTGAGGGTCAAGTCGATGGGACAAAAATATGGGATATATATATAATATTGTAATGTTGTTACACTTTAACTTGCTTTATTGCATTGTTCCTGCTGTGAATCGCTTAAAGCATAAGTGAGCTGCATACTTTTTATATAATAAATAAAGGGAGCTGAACAGAAATTATGTGTAGGCCAAGTCATATGACTCATGTGATGTGTTGTGTGTGTGTGTGTGTTTTGGCCAGACCATCCATTTACTGCTTGAAGTGTTTTTACAATTTTATTTTAATTGAAGTTGCTGCCTAATCATATCTACACTGCTTGCTATAAGAACAACTCCATATGTGCTAATATCCATCTTGTGTGTTAAGACTTTTAACATCTATCACATGCTTTCAAGTGTCTGTGCTATACACTGCTCCAAGCTAGAATCTCTGCAACTGTTGGCAGACATCGACGCACAACAATTTGACAAACTTCCTGCCGTGCGGCCGTTTGAATTCTCAAATTCCACTTGAGTTGAGTCTGGATTTGGAGTGCAGGGCTATATATATACTCTGTCGCAACTATAGTGGTCTCTTCTGCTTGGCATTACGACAGCGGAGGCTGTATGCGTTCTCAACTATTGTACCCAGAGGGGCATGAGTTGTATTATGTCTGACTAGCTGGCTGGGCTATTGTTGGAATCACTCTATTAATAGGAAGAAAGGCAATAATTGAGATATGGTGTTAGACAACGGCTGCGGTCACAATACAACTGTCTGTGCAAGCCTCAGCCATCTGTCTGTCTGCGTTTTATCCCGTCTGTCTGTCAGTGTTTGCTTCTTTTTATTTCTAGTTATGCCCCCTCTTCCATGTGACATGCCGCACTTTCATTTGTACAGCCTACTGTGCGTGTTGCATGCATTCTCTCTCTCTCTCACACACACACACACACACACACTAGTGCAGTCCATGCTGCTGTGTGTGGGACCTACAGCTTTGCTGTCACATTTCAACCCTGTATGTTACATTCCTGTAGGACTTGGACGGGGGGATGCACATGCGTGGATTTCTCTCACTGTCTCTGCTTCGCTCATGCTTTGATTTGGGCGTTACGCTTTCACTAGAATCATTCAAATTTCTCACAAATGCCAATTACAATACTTTAATGACTTTTCTTTAGTACTTTTGAAAAATGCAGATTTTTGATTCAACTCTTTAAATGATTTATAAGGAACTAGTTCATGAGCCATTTGCTATTAAAAATATTTTAACTATTTAATTTTCATAAATATTAGGGATTTTCTGTGCGAGTAAAGCAGAGAAAGGGGAGGTAACCTTTCCTCGTTATGACGTAATAACGAGGAGATTCAAGATCAGCGCGTCTGAGCTGCAGAGAAGAGAAAAATAGCCAAAGCTCGGTTTACACCGATTGAAAATTCTAGACACGAGGGGACTAAATACAGGCAAGGGGAACTAATATTAATGTTAAATAACGTCAGAAAGTGAAAATTTCATGTCAGGGGACCTTTAACCGTTATGATACCTGCGTGTAACTCACTGACCCATGAGTGCCACAACCAAAAATGCACCTCCTTGCCATCTCTCCTTTCACACGCTGTCAATTCTCGCAAATACAGAGGCAGCCTGTCTTCTGTCAGTTGGAGGGGCGTGGTTACGGATGTTAAGCCGACACCCAAACCGTCAAACCTACGTCGTCAGGAATCGAAGGGGAATTTTCAGATTTTGATTAAAGATCACGAAGCCAAACATTTTTTTTGTGTGGATTGACTTGCATGGATGAATTGTTCACCACAAAACGATCATTTTAGGCAAACAAAGTAAGCATGGTCAATTTTAAATTCATGGCGACTTTAACCAACGTACAGTTGGAAAATGGAATAAAACTTGAGCATTTGAGGAACCGAACATGCGTCTCCAACCCATATTGCCAGGTGGTGTTTGTAGCATAGGGGGCGGAACGCTTTAGATTCTAGGGAGCATTCGATTGGACAGAAGAAGCGGAAGTCCATGGTGATGTCATAAAAATCTGTGATCCATTTTAGCGAAAGTGAGGGACTGCAAATTTATATCTCCTAAATGTGAATTTTGTCAGTTTTGGTGCATACCAGCTTATTCATAATCTTAGGGCTAACATATTCATACTAAAAGCTAAAAACTTAAATTTTGATTTCAAGGGGCCTTTAATCTAATATAAATGTTATACCATATTGTCCCTCATAACCTGTAATATAACAAGCCTATAAGCTAGTTTAATACTAGACATGACAATAAAAGAAAATGGTAAGGTTTAGTGTAGGCTCTCAAAATACTCAGACATTTCCCTGAACCTGCCGCCAAAGAAAAAAAAAAACAACGCTTGCAAAACCTGAGGTAAAATTAAATTATTTTGTCATCCGCTGCAGATATTCACTTTTCAAAATAATATAATAATAATATATTAATTTTAAGATGTAACATTAACATGACGGTAATTTAAATAGAAATACTAGTTTACAATTTTTTTCGACATTTATTGTTATGCTTTATATTTGAAAGTTGGCTAGCAGCAGCAGTATCTTTAATCGAATAGTCTCGCACATCCCTAATAAAAATATATTTTGATGTTTTTTGGAACTAAAACTGTAAAAAAAAAAAAAACGTTGAGGGTCAGCTAGTTTAAAGAAAATTGTATTAAATGGTCTTTTCTCATTATCATAATCATAAATATAATTGATATTCTATAAAAAAAAATATCTAGTTCTGAATTAGTAGGCACAACGATTATCGCTTTCTGCATATGTTTATTTTTGACGAGTGTCTAAGATCCCGGCTGCGTACACAAAGAACCAGGAGGCGAGTTGGAGCCGTACCACCATCTTGCAGCCGTTTCACCGGATAGCAGCTTGACTAAGACAGCGTTTCTTGATCCCCCTCCCTCCTTCTGTTTTGCCCTCTCTTCCCCTCTCCGTTTCCTCCCACTAGAGCCGATCCATTGACTAGAGCAGTGTCTGACTGAGCGCTCTCTGATCACTATGACTCAGAACCCTGCCTGCTTTGATCTCCAGCACAAACATGCGCCACCTGCTGGCTTATTTCACAGCTGCCATTTATTTCCCTCCATGGTTGACTTGTGTCGTGTGGTGATTTGAAAATGTGTGTGTGCGAATACAGATGCAGGAATATTGTGTTACATTGTAAATTAAGTTTTTGTTCAATATTGCAAATAAATATCTTGGGTTTTTCACAATATCACAGTTTTTAAAATGGATGGTATGACGGATAAATATAATAATGTGGTAATGCCTTTTAATGGATGCTTTAGTGATGCAAGGTGCTTGTTCTTGTCCAAGGTGCATAGCACTTCTTCCTTGTCTTGACTTGTTTGGAATAAATCCAGCTCTCCGTTTACTCATTTCTTCCAAATAACATATCAGTCCTATTGATTATGAAGTGTTGAAGATAAATTAGACAGTTGTTAATGTTACATATGTTTTTCTTTTTAGTTTCCTGGACAGGATTGACACTGTGAAACAGAGCGACTATACTCCCACTGATCAGGTGCGTAAAGATCCTGCAAAGATCATTGGCCTTTCTTGTTCTCATCTTAAAAGGCATTGTCCGTATGATTTAAAGTCCCTGTAAAAATTCTGAACGCATTATAAATGTTACAAATGTATTGCTAAAACATATTACAAAGACTGTGAACTGTGAAGTACTGAAATGTGGAGTTAGACCGTTAAACAGTTTTTCAACATTGCTATTTTCCGGATTTTTTTGGGCGGGGCTAAAACAGGGCTCGATGGCGCACTGGAGCCCCTGAGCTCCTGGACACGCCCCTACTTGATGACGCACTGACGTACAAAACAGATCGGTGTCTATTTAAATTTCCTAAAAACGATCACATCAAGAAGAGGTGGATTAATTGTGTGAAGAACCACCTTGATGGAGAGCTGAGGATGACACCGCCAACACCGCCTCTGTAGTGATCATTTTACACGGGATCGTTTTATAAACTTTCGTCAGAGACAACTGGGATTCACTGATAATCCGCTGTTACCGACTATCTCCCGCCTCAACCTTCATCCTACCGTCCCGAAAGCAGTATCACCTAATATCACTGTCTGCATTTTTCCCGCGAATGGGCGTGGTTTCAGCAAAGCCAGTGGACACGCCCCCCAGCGGTTGAAGGCAGAGAATACTGCTAATTTTTTTAAGATTTTGATAGCTTATTTTATGGACTTGCCGGCTTTTTTAATCATTCAAATTTCGCTAATAACACATTTTTCTGTGGTGTTACAAACTCAGAACACATACTTAATTTTGACTTTACAGGGACTTAAAAGATGTTTTTTTTGTTGTAAATGTACTTTGAACTGTTCTCTTTGTTGATTCCCTCTTTCAGGACTTGCTCCGATGCAGAGTTCTGACTTCTGGGATTTTTGAGACAAGATTTCAAGTGGACAAAGTTAATTTTCAGTAAGTTTGACCAGGAGGCCTTCATACATATATAGATATTGTTTATATATATATATATATATATACTATATATTTAGACAAAATTACATGCAAACATAAACACAGTGAACAACATAATTATTATGATTATTATTTTTTTACAATTCGGTGGAAAAAGGGAACACTGCACTACATAAGTACTCATCATGTCTGTGGGCTTTGGACTGATGCATTTTCTATTTTTCTGCAGTATGTTCGATGTTGGAGGACAAAGAGATGAACGCAGGAAATGGATCCAGTGTTTTAATGGTAACTTGTGCTTTTATTGCTTTATAATAATGATAATAATAAAGGGTTTTTTGAATGGCCAGTGCTGATATTAAAGGAAGGATGTACTTTTATTACAGTGTAAAATAATTATCATATTTATTCAAAATTCACACACAAAAAACGTATCTATTCACAGAGCTAGCCATTTCACATTAGCTTATTTATTAGTTGTAATCAGGGTCTAAAACTAACTTTTTGCCACACCTATCACTGGCCGGTGACTTAAGAATATTTACCAGCCATAAATATTTCTTACTTGCCATTAAACCTTTTTTGTGAAAACACTTTGTTGGTTTGACACCAACATTTTAGATACCGGCAAAAATTCACTTTTCAGATACGTAAATGTAAAATAACCGCATAGTTTTCACTGTACAAATGAAACCGAGATTAATTCTTATTAAAGTTATTGTGTCAAGAGGTCAATAGCTGTGTTTTATTCATGATAAATTCACCCAATGGTTCTATGTATCACCACACAACACCCAGAGCAACCACTCTTGACAACTTGGCAAACACATGTTTGATCTCATTGATGTTGTTCATTGTTTAGTAGAGTATTGTGAGAGATCGAGTAAGTGAGTAGATATAGCATTTTCCTTCAGGTCAGTTCTATATTCATAATAAAAAATAATCTGTTTGAATGTCCGCTGCGATATCTTGTCCTTTTAACTAGTCATCTGTCAGTTGCGTCTTCCTTCTCCGTGATACAGCACAGCCTCTCGCGTCTTATTGCTTACATGTTTACCAGAGATGGGTTAACAATTTTATATGAATTTGCTTTAGATGTTTGGATACAGAAAACTTCAAGTAACACGCTTGAATATTTAAAGAGGCGATGCTCAATCTTTTGTGTCAATGCTGCACTGGTCCGTTGCGAGTGTCATTCACATTTAAGTTCTCACAACATTACATTGTTAGGATCTATTAAAATGTTACCATCCGACTGGCAATTAACCCTGTTTCATATACTCACCAACGCCAGTTTTTGCTATCATTTGCTCAAATTTCAGGCCCTGGTTGTAATTAAGATGGATTGTTTGCATTGCTGGATCAAAGTGCATGCTAAAATCCTTTTCTTTCCTGTTACAGACGTGACAGCCATCATTTTCGTGGTAGCCAGCAGCAGTTATAACATGGTGCTCAGAGAGGACAATCAGACCAACAGACTCCAGGAGGCACTTAACCTGTTCAAGAACATCTGGAATAACAGGTACTTTTTGGATGCCTAAAACATGCTTGCACATGTAGAGAAGAAGAGGGCTTAATGAGTGTACTTCCGCATTTTCTTATAAAAAAAATAATAAAAGTATAGCTTTATGATTATCTTTTCTTTTATCAAATCTCTTCATTTTCTCTCTTGCCTTTTCAGGTGGCTTCGAACTATTTCTGTCATTCTGTTCCTAAACAAGCAAGACTTGCTGGCTGAGAAGGTTTTGGCGGGAAAATCAAAAATCGAGGATTATTTCCCAGAGTTTGCACGCTACACTACACCAGATGATGGTTAGTCAAATTGAATAGTTTTTCATCCATGTAACAGTGTTATAACTTTGGTTATACTATGGATATCACGGCATCAGTGTTATTAATTAGACCTGTCTGCTTTCTATCTAACAGCAACACCAGAGCAAGGGGAAGATCCACGAGTTACGAGAGCAAAATATTTCATCCGAGACGAGTTCTTGGTGAGTCTGATTCTTGTATGGGACTAAAATCATCATAGCAACACATCCTGAAGTTGCGAACTGGTAGATGAGGAAAATTGACCATAAACTTACTGTACTGGCCAAGAAACTGTTCTTTAAATTTTAAGCGTACGCTGCATTTTTGTCGCCTGCCACTTTAAACGCTCATGACATTTAAACCAGGATGGATCCTGATTGGCTGTCAATGTTTTCATCATTCATTGGCTGGAGATGTTGTTTTGCAAAAGTTATTGTTGTCTTTATACATTTAGACATTTAGAACGATTTTTACAACCATCTTTATCATAGCATTAACATCTGCTGAAAATCCAGCTTAGCCATTACAGGAATATATTTAATTTTAGAATGTATTAAAATAGAACACAGCTATTTTAATATTTCACAATATTATTGTTTTTACTGTATTTGTTTTAATCAAAAAAACGACTTTTCAAAAATCTTACGACCCTAAATGTTAGTTTGCTTTTACTTCAGTGAATTGCAAAGGGTCAGACGTCCTTGCATTGCGATATAAACCATGTCATGTTGCTGGTCCTAATAAAATCACTTCCTTTTCTCTTGTTTTGTCTATTTAGAGGATCAGTACAGCGAGTGGAGACGGCCGGCACTACTGCTATCCCCACTTCACCTGCGCCGTGGACACGGAAAACATCCGCCGAGTGTTCAACGACTGCAGAGACATCATCCAGCGCATGCACCTACGACAGTACGAACTCTTGTGATCGCAGCAGGAATGACGGGACGCAAACTCACCACCTGAACTTTCTTTAGGCCCCCCTGCCCTACATCACGCCCCATTATCAAACCTTCAAACTGATGAGTCCCCACCACTTACACACACACATGCATATATATATATATATATTAATATATATACATATATATATATACACACACACACACATACACAAACGCATATACAAACACATGTGTATGTATATATATTCATATATATGTATACATACAGACACACACACACATGGCCTTTCTCCATCCTGAGTGACTAGGGGCTGGGGCAAGGGGATGCACTGTGTTACTGATGAAAGCGTGGCTGTGATATTTAGCAAAAAGACTTGTTAACACAGCCAAGGACTACCAATGTTAATAAAAGAGAGAGAGAGGAAAACAAAACATGTGAGAGGGAGAGGGAGGGGGGGAGAAAAGAGGGAGGGAAGGAAAAAAAAAAACTGTCCAGGACTGCTCAGGACAAGGAAGCCATTTCGTACACATACAGACATGCGTCCAGCTAAACTCCTGACCCGCAGTCGTATGTATGTTACACGTCAAACTTGTCTTTTTTCCGATCATATGCCTAAACACACGTTACTTATATTGATGCACACGCACAAGACATACACACGCTATTCTTATCCTCCACCGTTTTGGTCCTGTTGAACGTTTAGTGCCTGTGCAAGCCTGGCGTGTCCCTCTCAACTTTTCCCCATTTTCCCTTTCCCAACACCCCATCCCACCCCAAAGGTGGACAGATCCCCCCGTTGAGAGCAAAACGACGGACCATGCGTTTAAAAAAAAAAAAAAAAAACAGAATGTAGAGCAAAATGTCTTTTTTTTTTTTCCCAACAAAAATGGAGGGTTTGGAGCATTTACTGCCCCAGGTTGGTTTGCGTGTGGAGTGGAGAATGACTTGAACACAAGACCCATCACATGGCTTGCTTCTCTAGATGCATCGCAGGAGAGGCGAGCGCATGCAATGCCAGATTCATGCAGAACAGTGAACTAAATGCAGTGCAAAAAAATCCAAACCATATATATATATATATATATATATATATATGTATATGTAATAATACAACCTTTTTCTGTTTGTTAGTTTACCCAGTTTGTGTGTGCTAATATGCACCATTTTAAATCTCCAGTTTTCCCGGTTGCTCTCTCCTGTTTTCAGAGTATCATTCCTCTCCCTCTCTCTCTCTCTCTGTTTCTTTTCCCTCCTCCCCTTATCTTTCTCTCTGTCTGTCTCCTCCCTGCTGCAAAAAATCTTGTACACTGACACGTGGGGACTTCATCAGACCGAGGGTAAGACAGAGTTATGACGCAAGACTCAAGAAGGATGTCTAACGGATGGCCTCTCTCTCTCTCTTTTTCTCTCCCCCTTCCTCCCCTCCAACTTCCTCTCCTCCCCTTTAGCCTGGCTTTTGGTCTGTCTTTTGATTTCTCTGCTGGATCATTATTCTTGTACAGACTGTAAAATGTATTATTTTGTACAACTTTATTGAAGAAAAAAAGTAACTTGTAGAAGCTCCCTGTGCCTTGATCACGACTGTACGTGTAAAATGAGCTAAGATGTAAGTAAGATATGTTTCATTGCGCTGTTTGGCTCTGCCCTGCCTCTGTCGATTCCCTTCAACTCTGACCCCCCCCAACCCCCCTCTCCCCGATCGCCTGTTTGCTCATCAGACTCTGGGTGGATGTTGCCTCCCCGCCCCTCCCTGCGCCGATCTAGAACCGGCCTCCCCGTACAACTCTAGAATGAAAAAAAAAAAGAAATGCAATGCCGATGTCAGATCGACGACCAAGCGCAACTTTTACTAGCACTGCTTATCAGTGGAGTTTGGGGCGAGCTGCTGTCTGTCACGTCCCCCTTCCCCCTCTGTTTTTTATATTCGTTCGTTTAACCTGCCTCTGGTTTATATTTTAGGAATCAAGACGATATGCCTGATGCTGTGTAGTATAAAGCAAGAAACATTATATACAGTATATATAAATATATATATTTATGTGTAAATATATTATTTATATATATTTGTTTGCTTTTTACAGGTTTTCTTTGCCTTTTCTTTGGGCGACAACAATAGTCAACATTTTAGAGGCAGGGTGTGGGGCTTTTTCTTCTTCTTTTTTTTTTTAGCTTTAACTCTGAAGGAGAAAATAATCCAAATGCAAAAACATTGCTTGTCTCTTCGTCAAAAACCAAATTCCTTTGCTAAAAAGAGTGAAAAAGACAGCGAATCTGTCAATGTATTAAGTGTACAAATTGTTTTGATAGCTGCACAGTCAGATATTGGGTTCATATCCCCCTCCCATGGTATTCATGTTTATTTCTTTATAAAAAAAAAAAAAAAGAAAAGAAAAAAAGCTGCTCTACAAACTGACATACTAACAAAAAAAAAAGAGGCCGCCCATCACCAGACAATGACCAATCGTAACCCTCTCTGTACCACACTTCCTGTCCTGCTATCCAATCACGTGAAAGCAGGGGCCAGCTTTTGGTGCTCTAATGGTCCACTTTGTTACACAAAGTATTTATTTTTGTTTTATTTATTTGTCATTTTATACTTTTTTCCCAAAACGCCATAATTTGAATCAAAAACTCTAATGTCTAACTGATCTGACCCGGTTTTTTTTTTTTTTTTTTTTTTTCTGCAAAATGTGGTACAGGTGTTATCTATCTCATATAATGTTACGGACGTGGGATGGGGTGGGGGGAGATGTTAAGCTATGACATTTTAATGTTTACTTTTTTTTTTTTTTTTTTGTATTTTATTTTCTAATTCAGACTCGCTGCAGCAATAAGTGAGTGAGATTTGAGTACCAAACGCCCCCTTGCCTGACTCTATAAGAAGTGTTTTCAGTGTATATGTTGCTTTTTTCCATGTCTCACACTTACTGTACATTTTGTACAAAGATTCAAATTACAGCAGTAAACGAAGAGTGTAACACTGTCTGAGTGACACACACATGCACACACTCTTTTCACAAGGCTAACTCTGTTTTTTGGCCCAAATCAAACTATAAAGGATAATGTAGTTGCTCTTACAGTGATGGTGGTTCTTAAAGGTCTAATATACCATTTGCTACATGTTTTTAAAGAGGCAAAATGAACTTATCATTTGCAAACTGATGGTTTCAGTGGCACTATGCATTGCATATCATAATATGATTTTGGATCTAGCACTCACCATATCTCACAGACACATTATTAATCATGACAGAAACTTCTACAACATTTTTTAAATGCATTCACCAAGCAAATTTTCTTGATGCTTCTTCCGTCACCTTTAGAAGAAGCCAATGTTATTGTCTGTTCCCAGTCTATAAAAGAGTTTCGCTTTGAAAAACGTCCGTAGACGGGAAGAACATTAATTTTAGTGTTTAAAATGGACAAAATTAGTTGTTTTAAAGTTACTGTCTTGCAGATGGTTTGTAGTAAAGCATCAGCAACTGCACGAGTTCACAGATTATACTTAGTTTATATGTTATTAGATCTTTAAACCAGAGCAACAGGGGCTATTTTTAATGCATCAACTGATGTCAGTGACATCAGAGAAGTGTTACACACACACCACACAATAGGCATATGCAATTCATGAATGTTATTTAGATTTTCAGCTCATCTCATTAAAATCCACGCAGAATTAGATTTTATGGTATTAACAGCCTGAACTAATTTTATTTAGCTGATAATTTTACAAATATTTTAAAACAAAATGATTCTGAACAATTATTCTTGACAGAAGATCTGGGGTTCCACAAGTCATAGTCATTTATTATTATTGTTTTAAATAATACCTAATAATATTAGGTTTATCATTTAAAGTAATAATTAAGGGCCTAATACATATCCTAAATTCACGACACTAAACATTTCAATGCTGGTTTTAAGACAAGGTTGTTATTTTAGATCATTTTATTGAAGTTTGATTACTACAGTGTAGTTTATTTAGAGCCCATGCCTTTGTTTTGTAGGGAAAATTTTATTTTTAAAACTTTATTACTGGGAAGCTTTTATTCAGGCTTTGCCACTATCAACTCGACAAGGACTGCATGGACACTTACTGGACTGAACACTTTCATTCGGAGCCATCTGCTGGAGAGATATCGACTACATCTAATATGACTGAAGAACCGTACATATACGAGTAATATAATATATTGCAGTAGAACATCCTTCAAGTCAACTTTTTTTCTTCACAAAAGTCAAAACTATTCGCAATAAGAAATTATATAAATTGTATATATTTGAGTAACTGTCATAGAATCCAGTTTACCCGCCGCAATTGTTTTTCGATACCATAACACAGAGTGTGTATTTGGCTCTAAACTTGACTTTTGACTAAAGTTTCCATCGGTTTGTGAGCGCTGAGCGGAATGATTTCAACCAGTGCTCAAAATGGCTCTTATGGCAGTTAAGGAGTTTACAACACCCCCATTGGGCGACACACGTTACAAGAAAACAACTTTTAGGAGCTTATCGCCCCAGAAGGCTGAATCCCCCATGGGGTAGCATTCAAAACCTAAGGTGAAATGTTAACATAGATACTTATTATTATAAATAATCGCTTAAATCTATCACTTGCATAAATTCTGCCTCAGCAAACTCGTTAAAAAAATGCCCTTAGCCTGTAACAAATGGTGACGTCGATTGGTCCAGCTTGAACAGCGCTGAAATAAGTAACAAATACCACGTGACAAGGTCTAGCGCCCCTTCAACAACGGATTTGGCAATAATTACACCTTGATAATGACATTGACTGTTATTGTATTTCAAGAACAATATGTAAGAATAAAAGAGTATTATTTATAAATATTTAGTACCCCCCATTTTAGATTGTTAATGGCTTGCCATTTTAGTCGCTTATTCTATGAACGGTCCTTATCGCAGTTTGTAGTGTCCACCAGCCCAGAAGGCGGCGCTCGACTACTCCGTTATCAAATTACGTATTATACACGCGCCGGTCGGTGCTCTCGTACGTATTTTGTAAACAGTTGCTTTTCTGTATAAAATATTTCCAAATATTTTCCTCCATGGACGAAGAATACTACGGCAATGTTGGAGAATGGGAGGGTCACGACGGCAACACGGTAGTTTAGCCACACCAAGATAATAAAATTATAATCTGATATCCTAACTATTTCTTTAAAATCAAGACTTGCATTTCATACCCCTACTAAAATACTGTGGTTGTACCATGTTTACCATTATCTTATACCATTAACGTTATTGATATCGAACTCTAGTGTAGTTCAAATAATAACGTGAACGTTAAAAATCCACGATTCCAACGTTACCATGATCATGCCAAATAAAACAAAGTAACGTTACATGGACAAAACGATGTATTACTATGGTAACGTTACCGTCCAACAATTGTTTTTTTTTTTTTTGCTAGTGCTGTCATAGATGTCCGTAAATACAATTGTAATCCAGATGATTAACTTAAATTGAATATTTCAGTAACGATAGTTAATATGTTGGATTGTAATATGCACACATGATCTATGATAATGAGAACCAATAAAATATCGTTAAATAGCTTAAATTTGATTTGCCACTAAAAAATGCTTAACATTTTTCTACCGCTTCAGGAGGATGGATACGCGGATGCTGAGACTGATGGAAAAGTTCAGGAAGAGTGTCTGCAAAAATTCTCCAGCAGAGACTACATAATGGAGCCCACCGTGTTTAACACCCTTAAAACGTAAGTCAACCAAATGGAGAGGGGGTGATTTCTATGAATAAAGCTTTGTCAGACATCCCGTCGGTGAGTGCTGCTGTTTTGTCCCTGTCTGCGCAGGTATTTCCAGGCAGGTGGTTCACCTGAGCATGTGATCCAGCTGCTCTCAGAAAACTACTCTGCTGTTGCACAGACAGTCAATCTACTGGCGGAGTGGCTCATCCAGATGGGTCAGTCAATATGTTGCCAAATTATTCAATATAAATGCGTTTTTTTGGTTGGTAAATCAACGGATGAACTCAAGCTTTGATTGGACGCGTTACAGGTGATGTTCAATGCTAAGGCGAGAAAAGAAAAGTTGCTGATTAAATTGATACAGTGTGAACAAGACAGTTTGAGAATTGAGAGTCACACCTATTATAAAAAAGCTGGCAGCATCTCTAAACACTGTGTCTCCTTTGCAGGTGTGGAGCCTGCGCAGGTGCAGGAGCGTGTAGAGAATCATTTAAAGAGTCTATTGATCAAACACTTTGACCCTCAGAAAGCTGATTCTATCTTCACTGTTGAGGGAGAGGTGAGCGATTTTTAATATTAGTTACTGTATTTCCAAAAACACCAGTCAGACATGATTTGTGTTCACATTAAAGATGACAGGAAATGAAAATTCACCAAGTCCAAGTCCCTGCCCTACTTTTTGTTATTATGCATTATTAGACACGCTGAAGAATTTCTGTTTGTGGCTATTTCCGTTTCATCGCAACTTTTAATTGAGTTGTTCAGGCTAATGAATGCAGTGTACGTCTCTGTTAAGACACCAGCATGGCTGGAGCAGATGATAGCACACACAACATGGAGAGATCTATTCTACAAACTGGCCGAGGCTCATCCAGACTGTCTGATGCTCAACTTTACCGTCAAGGTAAAAGAGAAAAATGAGCTGAAGTGTGTCAAAGATGTTCAGATTGCTGGATCAGTTTATGTAGTTGTAATACATTTCTTGTTTATGCATGTTGTGCGCAGTTGATTTCAGATGCAGGGTACCAAGGAGAAATCACAAGCGTGTCCACAGCCTGCCAACAGTTGGAGGTTTTCTCCAGAGTCCTACGAACTTCTCTCGCTACACTACTGGATGGAGGAGAACAGAATCTGGAGAAAAATCTGCCTGAATTCGCTGTGCGCATTGCAAACTTCTTTTTTTTTAAGGCCACTATTTATGTTTATCATTGTATTTTTATTAACAGATCTCATTTTTGTGTGTTTTGAGCAGAAGATGGTGTGTCATGGTGAGCACACATACTTGTTTGCTCAGGCTATGATGTCCATCCTCGCTCAAGAGGAGCAGGGCGGCTCTGCAATGCGGCGAATCGGACAGGAAGTGCAGAAATTTGCCCATGAGAGGTGCATTTGTGTTAAAAAAAAGTGGTTTGATCTGTCTCATTGTTCTTCTAGTTAGCAAACAAATCAATAACATTGGTATTATTATGTCTAGGGGGCATGATGCCAGTCAGATCACATTAGCGCTGGGCACAGCTGCTGCATACCCTCGTGCATGCCAGGCTCTTGGTGCCATGCTGTCCAAAGGAGCTCTGAACCCAGCCGACATCACAGTCCTATTCAAGATGTTTAGTAGCATGGATCCACCTCCTGTAGAGCTGGTCAGAATCTACGTTTACATTTACGCATTTAGCAGATGCTTTTGACTTATTAAAGCAGCACTATGTAACTATTTCAACCTTTATAATATTTTTCCAAAACCTTGGAGATGGTACATCGACTTAGAATAGGTTGAATGACAGGTCTGCCATAGCCTGACTGTGCAAATCTGCTATATTTCTAACACTTTATTCCTAGCTCAACAATAGCCTACAGAAAAGTGTATTGACTAACTCAATGTTAACTAAACTGCTCTTCTCAACATGTAGATCAGAGTCCCTGCCTTCTTGGATCTGTTCATGCTTTCGCTATTTAAACCCGGAGCTAAAATCAACCAAGACCACAAGCACAAATACATCCACATCTTAGCATACGCCGCTAGTGTTGTGGAAACATGGAAAAAGGTGTGTAATAAATACACACTTTTCACATATATTTAAAAACTTATTTGTCAGTCTTTTTGTTTTCCAGAAATTTTGTGGTTAATTACGTAAACTGGCTCTTATTTCTAGAACAAGCGTGTGAATATAAATAAGGATGAGTTGAAGTCCACGTCAAAGGCCATTGAGACGGTTCATAATCTTTGCTGCAACGAAAACAAGGGAGCTACTGAGCTAGTAGCAGAACTCAGCACATTATACCAGTGCATAAGGTATGTACAAACACATTTATCTTTAAAGTCACCCTCACGTTGTTCCAAACCTGTATGAATTTCTTTCTTCTGCTGAACACAAAAAGATATTTTGAAGACCAACAGTTGATTGACCTTAATTACTCCCATAGTATGGAGGGGGGAAAAAAAATGCAATGGTTCCCAACATTCTTCAAAATGTCTTCTTAAAGAAATTTAAACCAGTTTGGAACAGTGTGAGGGTGAGTAAATTACGGCAGAATTTTTGGCATCCCTTTCAAGGAGAACTGCAAAATGCAAAATGAACCTTTGGTCTAATAAAACATCGGTACCTAGTCAACCGTTCTCTGAGATTTGTTTTCATGATAATCGAATGTAAAGAGTTTTATCTCTAAAAACTGTTTAGTGTATGCTAGTACTGGGGGTATTTACTAAGTAAAAATAAATCGTTAGTTTATACCACTAAAAAGGCTCAAAATAGCCCCACACTAACGCAGTAACATAATGAGGGTCCCTACACGCAAAACGAAGCATTGAGAACAGACCGTTTAATAAGAAGATACTTTATAAAGACAGTTCACTTCGTGTATACAGGCGGCGCCATCTTTGGAAAACAGTCACGACAAGTCAAAGCACGAACGACGTGCTTACATGATCTGAACTGTATGAAGTTCAGCGAACTTCTGAACTGCATGAACGGTGTTCGGAGATCGACTTATCGAGAGCAACTTAAATGTCCTAATTGAACCAAGGGCTAATCCTGACTTAATCGAAGCCCTGTCTGTGAAAGCAGGCCTAAACAGTTGATATTTGTGTGCAGGTTTTCAGTGGTCGCGATGGGAGTGCTGAAGTGGGTCGACTGGACGGTGTCTGAGCCTCGTTACTTTCAGTTACAAACAGACCACACTCCTGTCCATCTAGCACTGCTGGATGAGGTAACCCTAACCCCAATGTCAAACATACCAACTGGTCACTGCCCAATCAGTATCTTATGAAGATACTGTTTCGCCATATTTTAAGAATAAATTTCTCTTCATTTCTCAGATCAGCACATGCCATCCGCTCCTCCACCCTCAGGTGTTGCAGTTGCTCATCAAACTGTTTGAGACAGAGCACTCGCAGCTTGATGTCATGGAGCAGGTTTGTAAGAGACAGATCGCAAAAACTACAAAATCCACCTCCAGTGCTTAATTCATAGCGAAATTCTGACTGTTATTTCAGCTGGAGCTCAAGAAGACCTTACTGGACCGTATGGTTCACCTATTGAGTCGAGGTTATGTTCTTCCAGTGGTCAGCTACATCCGCAAATGTCTGGAGAAGCTCAACACAGATATTTCACTCATTAGATACTTTGTTACAGAGGTGAAGCTCGGGTCATTTCTTAGTAGAATACACATTGTGTGCTTTATTCATGTCTGAGCGGGGTTCTCTAAAGTCTTCTTATTTTAATTTTGGGCAGGTTCTAGATGTGATAACACCTCCATATACCTCAGACTTTGTCCAGCTGTTTTTGCCCATCCTAGAAAACGACAGCATAGCGGGAACGATACGCACGGAGGGAGAACATGACCCTGTTGCTGAGTTCATTGGTGAGTTGTCCACAGTGATTTTTATTTTGTTTTTTGTTTCAGGTGTGTTTAACTAGGGTTGGAGCTCAACTCTGCTGGACAGTGGCCCTCCAGGAACTGATCGAGATGAACCATGACTTGCATGAATTCACAATTATTCTGATTTACACCTACAGTACTTTCTTATTAATCTATAATTTTGTGTTGTAGCTCACTGCAAATCCAACTTCATCATGATGAACTAAACCACATTAGAAATTGGTGGGACGTCTGAAAAGGATAAGGATCCACGCAGACCGGAGCACTCTTCATGGACGGACAGCCGATTTCAGTGTACATAACTTTTGTCTTGACCAAAATATTTTGTTCGCAAAATATTGACATAATTGCTGAACTTTGAATGTGTGTATTGAGGTCACAACTCTTAGAGCCTCTTTTTTGGTTTTAACAACTTGGTTTTCCTTTTTGTATATTGAAATATTTTTTTTATTAAAGTCCGTTTTTTTGGAACATTCTAGTATTTATTTTGAATTATTTATCTGTGCACATAATTATTATTATTTTTTAATTCATGTGCCTTCATAATCTTTTATCAAAATAAGTTTTCCATGGACAAAATCAAGTCCCGTCCTACATTTGTTCTTATCCAAGAAAAACTGCTTCTTGAACATGTCACAACATTTAAGACTACGTAACTTCTGTTTCATGATACCTTAGTACATCATGTTTAAAGTCTAAAAGTGTCATCATTTCAGATGCAAACAGGTTCTCCAGCTTAAGAGGTTAAGTACAAAAGACATGAGTACATTGAAAAATATTTTTTTAAATGTGTATAAAATATTTTTTTAAATGTGTATATATACTGTAAATACACAAAATATTTGTTGTTGCACATCAGATGGGCCTTATTCAAAGCCTACAAAAATAGGCTTAAAGTCACACTGCGGAACTTTTGGCCACTAGATGGTGCTCGACCTGTAACTTTCACGTCTAGCGTCCACTGTTGCAAACAGTCAACTGGTCAGCCTCCTGTGTCTTTAGATTGTAGCCGTTTCTAAATACCAGTACGCAAACTTCGGACTTGCAAATTTCGACTCAGGAGAACGGACTCCCGAGGATGAGAGGACGCAAGCCTGGTTCTTCTGCAAATGGAACAGTGTACTTGATCGCGTCACTCCACACGCTCTGGCTACTCCGGTTATCTCTTTATAAATATATTAGGCAACAATAAAATGAAATATGCTACAACTCTGCCTCTTTTCGTCACCAATAAAACGAAATATGTTATAAAACAACACTCTGCCTCTTTTCATTAAAAAAAAAAAAACATTAGCCTAATGGCCATGTGGTTCAAGCAACGCGATTATCTTCACTGCGTATATTTATAACAAAATGAACATGATCTTTTTGTTTTCATTTTAAAAATATGAAACATTGATTTTTATTGACATTTATAAGAGAGAGCGTTGTGTAATTTTATTTTATTGTTCATATAGTGAAGATGTAAATCTCTCATGTGAATATGTAAAAAAATGATGTTAAAGTTAAATAGCAAAAAAATATAATTTTTTTTTGCCATGGAACAAACTGTAGTTTAATGAGACCAAAGATAGACTTTACGTTAAGACGCATAGATAGACGATAGACGAATTTTACGTTAAGTTTATCCACTAGACTTAAGAGATCAGAGCCAGCGCTAGCGGCAAACGTCAGAAGCACTAGCCGAGGATAAGCTGTTCCAGTCGGTGTTGATCTCGCTGAGTGTCCGGTGAAGGCTTGGATGTCAGAACTCAGAAAACGTCAGATACATTTTTTCAAATAGGCGCTATCTTTATAAATAAACTACAGATTTGAGATTTAAACAACCACATTCTCGCCTGAAACACTCTTAAAATTATATTTCATGACACAATAACAGTAGTATTTCACGGATTTTCTCCTCTCCTTGACGCTGAGATGGTCCTCACTGCGGAACTATAGGGAGGAATCCATAGGGAGGATCCAGATCCAACTCCTCCCACCTTACACCTAAACCTAACCAACTCCGCCCCCTGATCCCAAAACCCACCCCTAAACCCAACCCTAATCCTAGCCATCTCCACCCCTTGGATCGTGATCCGACTCCTCCCCTTGGATCTCATGTTCTGGATTGAGGTGCTACTGGAGACGCTTGCTGGTGGTTGGTGCGAGGTGGAATCTCAAGTCGGTCCACACAAGTCACCTCTCGACACATCCTCAGTAAACGGGGCGGACCAAGAACACATCAGGGGATTTGAAGTGGACTTGACCAGATGTTAACTTTGAATTGAAACAGTAATTGGGCAGTGTCTGATGACGTTTCACAAGAACACAAAGTGCAGACAAGAACGCATATTGAGAAACGACTTGTGTGTGCTTGCAGTGTTTACACCTGTTAGGGCCAATCCCAATTCTACCCCTTACCCCTTCACTTTCCCCTTCCCCTCCGTTTTGCGCGTCCACGTGAAGGGGTAGGGCTGTCCCAATTCTCTTTTGGTTGGAGCGGGAGGGCTAGGGGGAAGGGCCAGATAGCCCTTCAAACGAAGATTTTCGGGAGCACACTTCAAACGAAGGGGTATGAGAAGTGTTACTGCTAACCCAGGCTGGCTGCCCAAGCGACAAAGGAGACCCATAAATTTAAGTATTTGTGGCTTTAATAAGTATTATAACGACAAATAATGATTTGCTTTATGTTACATTCAATATTGTGTTCATATTTACGGTCAGTTTCTTCACAGAAACGTTTGTAAAAAAAATCGCTAAAATTACTGTAGTTTGCTAGTGATAGTCCCGCAACATATTTTCGTCGTCTCCGTTGTTTCCTGCGAACTTCACAAGATGCAAGAAAATAGCTGTAACCCACGCGACTGAGATAACTGCAGCTGTCAACGGCATCTTGGAAGTTGTGATAAACATCGGCGCATCTCCTGTGACGTAGGCGCTAGCGACGACTTATAATGACGTTTAACGGAGACGTAGTGGTGTCCCATTTCTTAGGGGAATATTTTCACCCCTACGCATTGCCACTCTGTTTCAAGGGTCAAGGGGAAGGCGAAAAGGGTAGGGCTAGGGGAAAGGGAAGGGGTAAGGGGTAGAATTGGGATTGGCCCTTAGTCTTGCCGCGCTCGATTCCCTCATAGCAGTCTGCTGAGAGAGAGCGAGTCGAGTGAGCCCCGTGGGGCTTATCATGTCTGTGAGTGAATGTGGGCGCGGGACAGTGTGTGCACTGAAAACACTGAGCTGACTGTAACGTTATGTGTGTTGGTTTATTTTTACAGAAACCGTGAGACATGTGGTGTGTAGTGTTTGTGGTTATTACTGAGTCATGACTCGTAGGCACGTTCACTACATTTAATGTAACATTACATTTGACATGAGTCGATTTTATTTGTGCGAGCCCTACACTGAGGCGGGCTGTGTTTGTGTGTCGAAATGAACACTGGGCTGTGGGCATTTTATTACTCTCATAACACCGTCGGCTGTGCCGGAATACCAGAAAATACTAATTTACACTGCTTATATGAATTAATCTGGGTTACCTTGGAAACGGCATTTGTGTGAAGGCAAGCGGCCGCATCGGTCGAGCACTCTTCCTCCTCCGTTACCTCACGCCAGCGAACGAAGCGAAAGCTGGACCAGTCCAATGTGTTAATCCTCGTCCTGGCTTTTTTGTCGCTCTCCCCTTTTCTTTTTTTTTTAGTTTCCTTTGATAAAATCGTTGCCTTCTTTCTTGTAGCTGTCGTCCGGTCATGTCGAAAACGTACAGACGGCAATCAAACGCGAGTTGAGCACTAACGTCAGAACCTGAGGAAGTGACGTAGGCCGTAAAGCGGTCGAATTTTGTAGTTATTTATTTAGAATGAAGAATTATGCTCGGGTTCCTACCCGAAGTTACAAAGTGCTAGTAAAAGCGATACAGATACCTTCAGGCCACGGCAGACGTATCATTCAACCTATTGTAAGTCGATGTACCATCTCAATGGGTTTTTGTGGCTTTAAGTGTATTTTATGATAGCAATAACTGTAAAGTGACTTGTTATGGGGTAATCAAATGAAGGCTAATACTGTAGGTCACTTACTAAGTTCAGATTTATCTTGACATTTAAAATTTAGTATGTGCTTTTATGATTTATTTTAATTTTGTGATTTAAAACGGCTTCAAAAAGCTTTTTTTTTTAGATTATAATATTCTAATGTTCTTCTAATTACCATAAAATGTACTACAGCTGCCAAACAAAATCAGAGAGAAATGTATTCATACATTTTTAAAACAATCTAATTCAATTTTAATTTAATTTGATTTTCTGTATACTGTACATTTATTTTTGAACTGATAGTGGTTGATAACGTCAAATAATGCAATGCGAGAGCATCAGTGGTTATATCATTGTGTAACAACACGGGCTTAGCCTGACAGTTAGCTTGCCCTGGACCAGGTTAGTTTCCCTGGTTTGAATTATTTTAAGTTTGAAACAGAATCAGCCGTCAATAAGTCTGACTAACCAAAATAAGCCTGGCTTATATTCTATTATTGTTTTATGGAACAGCCCTCTGAATGTACCACTCAGTTTAAACTAAAACAACAATAACAGAATTAAAATAACAATGAGTAAAACCTGATAAGACTTTAATTGAGTGTGATTAAAAGCAAAATCCTCATCAAAAAAGAAGCAAACTGTGCTTTCGCTTTTAATACACCATTGCAAACCCCAAAACTTAGGCACGTATCGGCACACAAGTATTGGCCATTTAAAACATCCTAAAATATGAAATATCCTAGTATAAAAAAAAACAACAATGGTGTTTCCCTTTGTGTTCATTAAGTGGTGTAGAAAAGAGGAGGCCAACAAATGCAGAATTACAAGAACAAATCTGTACAATTTCTGATAAATCATTCCTGAGATCTTCATTAAAAACTATTAAAACCTCTGCAACTGATCTTGGGCAGCATCAGAAAATCATTCTTGCCCCGGATACAAATGCCCTTTAAAATTTGGCATGTTTGGACTGATTGAAACTGCACTGTCTCAACGAAAAACACATCACTGCATCTACAAGTAGTTCTTGGGTAGGATGGGGTCTCCGTACATGCAGTCCTCTTCGATGGCGAGATTGTACTGGCTCCCACTGCCGCCCTTGTATGCACTGGTGACAATTCTGAGCCAGCCTTTCTCTCCCTAAATAACCAAAGAGTAGGACATCCATTCAACATCTAAACTTGTGTGAGGGATTCACCAGCATAAGCTCTCAGGTTTTGCTTACCCACGGCTCTCCCCAAGAATTACGGACGACCCAGTACTCCACTCCAGTCTCATCAACGCCCCAACCAGCAACAGATACGATGTGGTTTATACCGGGATCCTGTACGTACTCAGAATACAAGCCACCAGTGTACGCATCAAGCTTGTCTGTTGCCATAATCCCGCAACTGCAAAAGCAAAGTGTCAGCGTGTAAAAAAAAATCTCCTAATGTTGGTTCAAATATAA